TGAACATATAATAATAGATTAAGATTATAAGTTGCCATTGGTTTGAGACGATCGATACATACTTGTTGAATAATGTCACCTGATATAATTAATGGACCAGAAATTAATGTAAATGCTTCTAATTTTAATGACAAATGACAAAGTTGACCAAACACAGATGATAGAAGCCCAATAGTTCGATGAAAACTTATTCTATTCACACAATGTATAAATAGACGAGATAGATATCGAAGAAGATGAGCATCAATAGTAGTAGGCATGCTAAAAAGATTCATATAACTAATACTTTTTATAAATGACAATATGCTATTTACGAGATTATCTCATTTGCATCATTCTCATTAATATATTGATCTTGTATGCCAACAGAAAGATTCTCAATAAATGGTATACATAATAGTAAACGTTGGAGAAAGTATGACGTGTGTATACCAATAGTCAATGTACGAAGATGATTTGCATTCAATAAATTTGGTAATGTCATTTGATATCCTAATGAATAGTTTTTTATTTGATTGACATTCCCATTATCATGATTAAATGAAAGTCGACAAATTCTTAGAAGAGGCAGTTGCGAACACACCTTTTATTAAATAAATAAAAAAATCGAATTTCATAGTGAATAGAAGCAATAGTTGTTTTCTTACCTTAACTAGATAAACTCCTTCAATTTGAAGGGAATTGAACGGATTAGATAATGTTACATCAACCAATAAAGTATGTAATTGTTTTATTAAATGATTGCGCAGTAATTTATCAAATTCATGTGGTTTAATGTCGATTAAATGTAGACGTTGAAGTAATATTGTCTGATGATACTGAAGAGAAGATGAAATGAGTGACCATCCACCAATAGTGTTAGTCAATGTTAGACGTAATGAAACAACGCGACTTCCTATTAATTTCAAGACATTTTGACAATGATCATTGAACATCAATAATGACATTGTTGAATCACCTATATGAATGTGCCATAAATATTCATTTATTATCATATTTGATAAACGTTTAGTCAATGAAAAAAATGATCGAAGAACATCAACTGGAGATAAATAATCAAAAATTCCATAAAGAATATCATCAGGTAAAATTTCGAATGAACTGCCACTCATGTTTTTATGTTCGTTTCAATTGTACATTCGTATTGAGTTATCCATACATATATATATTGATGCAAACAATAACATACTTTCTGTCTATTTCATCTGACGAACTATTGTTTTTGGAATTTCTTTCTTTCATTCTAAATCAATTAATTTCAACAAAAGAAAAGAGGATAGAAGACTGTTGCCATCCAATGCATATTAATAGAACGTTATTTGTTTGTTTTATCTACAGATATGTGACAGGCAACATTGAGATTTAGACAAAATTAAACATAAGATCACAAGACTTGAGGATGTGGGTGTGGGTGCGGATGAAAAAGAAGACATATCCATATCCACATCCAACATTGTTGCATCAATATGTTTACAACCATATAAATCCTAGCAGCGATATTTAGTACCACTCTTTGTGTGCTACTAATTACTTACGCATTTTCGAAAATAAATAATTTTTTGCAGCATTCGACCCAAAACACTTTGCTGGTTCCGAATATGAAAGAAGGATGTAGGTGTGGATAAGTGAGATGTAGTTGAAGTGAAATTTTTGTCATGTTGTTTCATTTATAGACATGGTAGAAACAATAAATTATATACAAACTGGAAGAGCAGAAGAAGCTCTATCTTTTGGTTTAAAAAAAAAAGTGTTGCTTCAGTTCCCTTCTATCGATGAAAAATATGGATCAATATTTTGTACTATTACTTTTGCATCGTACGTTAGTAAATTATTTCGATTTAATTGACATGTTTGATAAAATAAATTAAAATTTATGTATTTCATTTTATATTTATATCAGTAATAATGCATTCAATACTGATTACAATTCCAGAATTCGAAGATAGATCATTGTTTTTTATTGGAGATATGAATGTGTTTGACATACTGATTGATTATTAAAAAAAAATAGCATATGCTCTTACTCAAAGATGTAAGTATTGATTCATCTGATATTTTAAAAACACCCTTCATTTCATATTGAGCATGCACGTGGAAATGTCAGATGATTTGTTAGTGCTTTAGTTAATAAAAGTTAGAACCATGAATCTATGTACTTTCATGAGATGGAACATACGATACTAATATACTAAACTTAATTTTTCAAGGATGTTGATATCTTACATATATGTATTTCACTGATTCAATCTATCCTTTGCATAGAATCGTTGATGATTGAAATTGGCAAAGAGTATTAATTGTGTCTTGATATAGTTAAAAAGAGAATGATATGCAAAATGAATGAAGAGTACAACTTCCTTATGTTTGTTCATTGGGGTATAGTTTATCGTAACTTTATATTGTGTATTGATCATTTTTTCTCAATAACTTTCATTTCTACTGATTAAGTGATTCATTCCGATTTCTTTATTTTTGTCAAACTAAAGCGTGATGAATACTAGGATTATGTTCTCTTCTTTAATATTGTTGTCATATTTTTCTTAGACTGCAACAACAAGTATTTATCTGCTATGCAACTCTTTCTGATTTGCTTATATATATACATCAAATATGACATTACATCAACGATCAGAAGCATTTCAAATTGATCTACTAGTAGGTTGGCATTAGTTTTCCGCAAGACCTCAATAATTACTGTTATTTTTTAAAGATTTCAACCATCTTGTAATCAAGTGAAGAAATAGAATTTTGTCTTAATGCTTAGGTTATAATCGAAAATTTTCGAATAAAAATGCACCATCTTGTACATTTGTTAACATCTTCTGTAATTATTTATCGCAAAGATTATATGAAGTTCAAAATCGATTTCAAATAATACAAACTGTTTTTCCCAGTCTCTAGATGATGATAAGGCAACAGTTTTCACTTCTGCATTTGACAAGATTTCTAGACAACTGATTTTTTGAAATCGAATTTCGCTGAAAATTTTACCATGAAGTCTTTGTTAAAAGAATTGAATCAGAAAAGTAGCCATTGTAGAGAATGAAAGGGATGTATGTCCCGTTTTGCTCGCATGAATCGAAAAATTGAAACTTTTTTTTAATGATTGATTGACCAATTTAACCATGAATAGTGTCCTTCTATCGCATTGTGATTATGCAAATCGACATCAAAGATGGATACATCATGAACGAGAAAAAAAAATGTTTCTATTCAATTGTTTTTTTTTTTAATTATTATTTATTTAAAGAATAAATCAATTATACACGAGCCAAGTAAACTTTGTCTTCATATTGAAAATCTTTCAAATAATGATTAAGTTAAATTAAGAAAATGTGAACATTATTCAACAACTTAATTAAATTACTTCCTCTCAATACATTTCAACCGTCCAAAAAGAAAAAACAGAATGAATTGATAAATATTCCATCATTTTTCTATTGTATCATTATGTTAATAACAGTACTGTTAATATTTCGTGATAATAGATTTTCATTAAGGTCCCCCCCTCAGAAACCAACTTTGTTATTTTTCATCCGATTTCAACCAAAATTTCAAAGAATGTTAGTCTTTGCTAGAATAGATTATGGTTAAAATGTCTCCCGAAATCTGCAAGCCATTCACGAGTTATAGTCAATTCATTGGTCAAAAATACCCTTTACGCGGGCAAGCTTTTCAACATGAGGATACTAGCTAAGCATGTCGGTGCGGTTTTTAAATTGTAGAGTGCCCCTAGGGCTAGGTCATAATAGAGCCCGATTTTTTAATTTCCCTTTGTTTGGTTTTTAAAAAAACGTTTTCGAAAAATTCTCAAATTCGTGGCCAAAAAACCGCTAATTAAAATCAAAGATCTAAGTTTTTTATTTAAACAAAGGAGAAATTCAAAAATCGGGCTCTATTATGACCTAGCCCCAAGTGTCTTCTCTATAACAAAAAAACATTACCACTTTTATATTGAGTCGTTATTGAGTAAGGTTTGCCCGCGTAAACGGTATGCTCGAAAAAATTGATTTTGAGAAAAACGGAGAATAAGTTTTTAAAAACCTTATTTTTCTCAATAGGGGGGTTCAGAAAAACCTATGTAATATCCTTAAATCTCATCATAAAATCAATCAACTATAGTGTATTCGAGAGTAGACATTTTGCTCTATCTAATGAGTTATAAATCACAAAATCGATAAATTTGACCAAAATTGACTTTTCTGAGAGGGAAGCCCCCTTAAATGATGTCCTTGCTTCTTTTTGTTACTACTTATAATTAAATAAAAATACTATCAATATTTTTATCACAACCGAAAAAGATAATCCGAACCTAGACATGTTATTTAGTCCTTTTTTTTTCTTATCATTGTCAATGCACTTAAATGTACTGATAAATTTCCAGGTGTTTGTTTTCAATTCTTAGTAAATTTCATTGTCATTCTTTTAATAATATCAATCAGATATAACAATCTTCATTAAACCATAGAAGAATATTTTCATCATTAATATATAATCTTTTATTTATTAACATTTACAATTTTATTGTCAAACTACTAATTCAAGATTTTTATTATCTTTCTTTCATATTAAAATTGAATATAAATGTAAAATTAATTATTTCTTTTGTTTTTCATAAACAGTAAATAATAATGCATAGTTTTTTTTTTTTTTTTTGTTTGATAATAATATGTATGTACTAGATACATAATAAAAGGAAAAGGGCATACCCATTGCACACATTTCGAAAGACACAAAGCAAAAAGAGAAAAGAAAAACACATCGTTCAATGAATAACATCAACAAATAATTAGTTCTTTATAAAGAAAAACAAAACAAAAAATCGAACGATAAAACATTAAAAGAAAACTTTCAAGAATAGAAATTAAATTTTAGAAAGATATATGTATTTTTTTTTTATATATTGAGCATCATCACGAAATTGAGAAAAGTGATGTCACCGGAAAAATTGAACAAAACAAGAAATAAGAAAAGCGATTAAAAACAAAACAAAAAAAAATTTATGAATTTATATTTGATGATAATATTAGTGGATGGTCAGTTAGTGTTTGACGATGTTCAATTTTATCATCTTCAATTAATTCTTCATCATAATCTTCATCTATCGAACTATTTGTTGTACTATCATTTTCTACATTTATTTTTGATACACTTGTTAAAGGAATTCTAAAATTAAAGATTTATTTTATTATTTTAATTATTAAAATAATTAAAATATAAGTTAAGAAAATTCACACCCAAACACACAGATTTAATATCTACCATATTTCTTTTACTGTTCTTATTACATAAGTTTCACAGAGTCTATTACTATATGTGTATATATATACATATAAATGATTAATAATAACAAATGAATATTAAACTTACTTAGTCGTCGTATTAATACTCTCTAATGGCGATGAATTTGATCGATTACGTATAATTTCTTCCAATGTGGTTGGATTTAAAAAATTACTTTGTAATGATAAACTAAATAATTGTACAAATTTGGTTAAAAAATGATTATGTATTTCAAAACAATAAAAAAAAACCGAATACTGGTGGTCATTCTTTTGAACATTCGTTTTTTTTTAGGTTCTCCTGATTTGACCTTAGAGGATACCTAAAGAGCTTCAGACATCGCGGAGTCAAATGACAATGCTTATATTCAGTTTCAAAATGATCTAAGACTATTATTTCAGTATTTTTCAAATTTTAAACATTTTTCTATTCTACAGCATAAAACTCGAAGTTCTGTAAATGGAAACCAATATTACCCTTATTCGAAGCTCTTTTGATGCCTTCCAAGCAGAGATAGGATCGATTCGATTCACTGTATTCTCGTTTTAAATCTTAAAAAAGCCTAAACCGATCTCATTTTTGCTTGTAAGATCAATTTTCTGTGATCGGAGAGAGATCCTTGAATGGGAGTTGATCTAATGAGAAGACTTTTTCTTCGCTAAGAACTCATCTGATTAGCCAATTAGATTTCGATGGTTTCCGCAGTGTCTTCATCGTTTCTTTGAAAAATTATTGAAGAAAACAACCACCGACATTCTTTTTTTTTTTACAATGGATAATACTTATAATTAAACAAACTTTTTTTTTTTCTTACTTTCCATTACTTGAATCAATAGAATATGGTGATAGCACAGGTGGACCTGGTGGTTGTGTGGATATAATAACTTGTGGTGGTGTGGATATAATAACTTGTGGTGGTGGAGTAGTTAACTGAGATTGAATTGGCGGTGGTGGTGCTGGACGATATTTCTAGAAGAACAAAAAAAATAATTTGTAAATGATTAAGTTTAATCAAAATGATAGGACATACCATAGATGAACGACGTTTTTCAGATTCTTTACTTGCTGTTGGAAGTGCTCGATTTTGTGTTGTATTTATTTCATTTGAAGTTGAATTAATAAGTGATGTATTAGAATTTATTGGATTTGAAGGTATAGATGCTGGTGATGGTGATGATATAGAACCTGATCGACCAGTTAATACACCAAATATTTTTGACAAACCTCGTTTTTTTGTAGATGATACAGGTGATGTACGACCAGAATTTGAATTTGAATTTGAATTTGTATTATCATTTGTTGTATTAATAAAACTATCACTTCGTGAATTAAATTGTTGAGTTCCATGAGAATTATTATTTTCAATTTCTGTTATTGTATCTAAAGTTTGTCCAATAGATAAATTTTGTAAAAGTTTTTTAAGTTCTTCATGTTTTATTCGTTGTCTTTGTTCAGCTACACGAAAGCGTAAACTTGGTGATTCAATAGCAGCATTTATTGAATTAAGTAATAATGTAAGAAAATAATCACGAAATGATTGATCACATTGATATATTCCACCGGGTGGATCAATTATTGATGTAAAATCATTACGATGCCAAACACCAATCTATAAATAAATTATATTAAAAAAAAAGAATATCATCTTTCTTTTTTTTTTACTTTATAATAAAGATTTTCATCAATTATACAAGGTTGTACTGTAATATAGATTTGTGTAACTTTTCCCGAAATAAAATCTGGTGTAAATTCTGCATCTTGTTCTTGAAAAACAATACAAACAAATGCATTTCCAACAAGACTTTTTCGTTCAATACATTGTCCATTTGCTTTTGTTGATGGTATCATTGGTGCTATATTAAACATTATTTCATGATTTTTATATTTTGTATAATATGAAGAGTCTCCATGCAAATCATCTTTTATATCAAGATCACCACGATATTTATTAAAACCTTTTAAACGTACACGATCAGCTAATAAATTTAAAAAATTTGACATATCATCTGATACATCATCATTACTGAATATATCATATTCATTTGTTTGATCTACACCTTGATAAATAACACCAATTTTACAATTTTGTCTTTCATCATTTAATTTATCAAATGAATAAATTTTTTCATTTGCCTATTATAATTATTATAAAATAAAAAAAAAAAGAAAATAATTTAGTAATGTTATATAAATCTATTTCATCTCACCTACTCACTTTTGGATCACCGATAGCTTTACATGTATGTATTGCTGATAAATGTGCTTTATTAAATAATATTTGAAGAATATTATCTTCATTTGTTCCATCAACCATTACAGATACATCATAATTACGACTTGGAATACTAGGAAAACCAAAATTAATTAAGATTTGAAAAGATATAATCAAAAAAATAAAAATTCATAATGTTTTAAAATTCTGGTTTTGTAATTTCGATTACAGTTCAAAAACAAAAACAAAGTTAGAATTGTAATTGATGAGATCATCTCTCGTATAAGTAAATATATAAGACTATCTGTATTCATAGAACATCGATTTTTTTTTTATTCGCCATATGCAATGAAAATAAACTGAAAGAACTTTCATAATAAGAATTTAATAATGTGTCAGATTGCATAGGAAAATGATTAGTAAATTATTTTGTCAAGGTCAAGAGTTGGATAAATAAAATCTTGACTTGACATATGGTTATTATTTTTTTTTTGTTTTATCTTAACATTATTCTTATTATTTTACAAATTTGATGACAAAGTCAGACAAATTCTCAAATATATTTTTTCATTGTCTAATTCTGATTAAAAATGACATTAGACAAAAAAAAAAAGCTCAGCACGATATAAATTTAATCTTATTATATAATTTCTGTCAGCAAAAAAAAAAAAATAATTAATTATTATCAATCAAATTATTGACTTCAAGTTGGATTTCCACCTACAATAAATTAATAATTTAAAAACTATTAAATTCTTATTAATTCAATCAATGAATGTCATAATTTTTTTCTTTTTGCTTATTATAAAATAATTTACCTTGAAATAATAGAGTATATTATTATTATATTTGATTTCAATCATTTTGTTCTCATACATTTCTAATTAATATTTGTTTTTTATATATTTATAAAAATAAAAAAAAAGTTCTTATACATTTTTAGAATATCTATTTTTATATTATTAATTATACACTTATTATATCTACTACAAAACTCAAGTAGATCATTAATTTTATATATATGTTTAATTATTAAAGTTAATCATTTGTTTTTTTTCTTCATTATGTCATATTGTTCTCTTAACGAAATTATTCATTACAATAATATTTATCTCGTTATTTCAATGTCATATAAACATACCGAATAATAGCTCGAGCTTGACAATATGTATTCGTATCCATTGAATATAATGTATTATCTGATAGAATTGATTTGTTATTGAAACATCGAAGTGATGCAACAAATGGACCTTCCTGTTCAAATCCACCATAATAATTTGTATGAAACTAATTAGAAAAATTTCATATAAAATTGTGTTGCGTTTTCTCTTTTTTTTTTGTAATATTGTAAATTAACTTACATATTCAAAAAATTGTTCACGATAAACTTCTGCAATACATAAGGGTGTTTGTAATTCTATTGTAAGTTTTTCAGCTGATCGTGGTTCATATTGATTTACACCCAATGTAAATTGTGATGATATAGATGACATAGATGATGTTGAATCTTCATAGAAAGATGATGATAAACGATCATTACTTATTGATAAATTTGTTCGTAAATTATTCGTAGGTATATTCAATGATTTCTATTTAATAAAAAAAGAAAAAAAAAAATTTATTATTACACCTCTTTCAATACTTGTTCTTCTTGGAGGTTGAATATTTTTTGTATTATTGACATTTTCAATGAAAGCAATCGTATAGATCAAATGACATGATAGACAAAGTAATCTTCTTTTTTTTTTTATTATTTTCTATTTCATATCAACAAAGCGCATTGAGAAAGGATAAGAAAGAAAAACACAAAAAAAAAAGAGAACGTGTAAGTTAAAGATTGTATCGTTTTTATAAAACAATAATTTTGTTAAAAGAGCTTTTTTTTTTATTTTAAGTCAAATAGTTATTGATTTATTGTAAAAGAATATAGAAGAACAAAAAAAAACGTTTATTGTTCTTACTGTTAATTGATGATTTGAATCAAAAGATACATCATCAAAATGATTTTTAATTTTTTTACGATGAAATGATACAGCAATTTTAACTATTGTAAATAACATTTTTTTTTTAAAAGACTATTTATAAATAAATAATATTTTTATCGTATATTCATCTCTCTTATATATATATATATCTACACATGATATGATATTGTGTAATAAATGAGAAGACAAAAAAAATTGCCTATCAAGCATGACAAAACATTTAACTCACTGATGTAAAAGGTTGTTCAGATTTCATTGTCATCATATCGTTGTACGGTAGTGAATAAGTGTTGGTAAAAGTATTAACACTTGTATTTGTGTCGTCTCTAGAAGTGAAAATTTTTCATAGTAACAAAAAAAATAATGAGTAAGAGCCGGAATATACACACAAACACACATATACACCTACACTTTACACATACGTTAGTTACAATGCACAACAATTAACTGCATCTGACTCTCGACTACTGATAAGAGAAAAAAAAAACGAGAAAAAAAGTTGTTAGTTTTCTGATGAAAATGACGTTATTTTAACAACGACATCCTTATCACTATTTATCATCATCATCATCATCATCTGCTTTTTATACCCATATTAACGTTAACTTACTTTATTGTATTTTTATGTTGATGTTTTTTCGAACGAAAAGGATATGGTAATAAAAAACTTAAATTAATTTGAGGAGTTGAATTACGTCGTTCAGTATTCGTTCCGTGAGTTTGTTGTAATAAAGGTGGTTTTAATTCACTAAATCTTCTATTATTTTTATTATTTACTTGTTTATATGCATTATATGGTACTGATGATAAATCTGTAAGTAAATCAGTAGATGTTTCTTCTGAAATTGACATTGTTCGACTTTTTGAAAATGAATGATTATGACAATCTTTTACTGAATGTCTTGAATATTGATAATTATCTGGTTGAGATAATGATGATTTTAATGTTTTTTTACAATGACTTGATGTTGGTGTCGCATTAATCGACATAATGAAATTAAATAAGATTTTCTATAAAAAAAAAAAAAACACTTCCTGTAAAATATTTCTGACAGATAAATAAAAGATTAAATCTAGTTCTTTATTTTATAGAAAAAGAAGAAAAGAAAATCAAGAGAAAAATGTGTTAACAATAAATAATTTTTCTTAGATATATATATATATATCCTAGAAACACTTTCTTTTTATGTGTTCTTCGTATGTCTATGAAAAAGAAAAGATATTAATAGATTTTGAACAAATCGCGTGTATATAGAGAGAATTCTCTAAATGACTTTCATTTTCCTCATCACAACAAAAAAAAAAAAATTTTTTTTACACATTTCAACATTTGCTATTAACAGATAATTTTGTATTTACTATTTATTCATTAGGCAAACATTTATATATATATATATATGAGTGCTACTAATATTTTTCTAATTATTATTTTAGCATAAAAATATTTATAAGAAAATCTAAATCATTTTTCTTACTTTTCTTAAAAGAAAAAGTTTACCAATAATATGTTTAATATATCTAATACTCTATTCTCATATTTCTTACCTTTTGCAAAAAAAAAGAAGAAGAAAAAACAAAAGTAAAGCATATATATTGATGAATTTAGTTCTACTTAAATATTTGCTTATGAATCTTTTATAACATATGCATACTATAAATTTTATGTTCTGCTTGACTGATTTTTTTTTCCTCTTTTCATTATACATATATGACTAAGTAAATATGACTAAGTAATTAAAAATAGTAGATTACACATATTAGGAGTGCATACGTTAGTTAGGTGTTTTACATGAAAGAAATCAAAAGACAAAGCAAAAAAAAAATATGTGATATTCTATCTCATTGTTAATGTTGTTAGTGACACAACACGAGTATGCGAGAAAATAGGCGATGGAATATCGTCATTCAATTGGATGTTATTTTAAGCATTTGTTATAGGTAATATCGACGGTTATCTTAATTTTTGATCAAACATAAATATCTATTTGTGTATTTCATCATTATTTTTTTCTTTCCAACTATAAGTCATACTTAATTATTAAGATAGATGAAATTGATTATCATACAAAGTTACTCTATCTGATGTAAATGCATGTGAGAGTTATAGAATAGTTTGAAACTAAAAGAAAATTTATAATATCTAAAAAACGGATGATTCTTACTTATATAATGTTCGACTTTCTATGTATGTATAGATGATGAGAAAATGAATTGTGTGTTCGATTTGATCAGAATTTAAAAAACACCAAAGAAACACTTTTGCTCTCCTTTCTAAAAACATTCTAATTGCGTTGTTCTTTCTTCAACAATTTTTTTTCTCTGTCTCTTGTTCATGGTTTTTTTTTATTTACATTAATTGTCAAGAACACCTAAGAAGAAAAAAAATGAAGCGGTACAAACGAACTTGAAGAATATTGATTTGTTGAAAGAATCCTGTGATCGTTTGTCTAGTTTCTCATTCTGTTATTGATTCTTTTCAAGCTGTCACATCTAAAATGAGACACACAAAAAAAAAACAAAGAAGAAAAAAAAGGAAAGAGTGAAGTGTCTTCCTTTACAAAAAAAAAAACAAAAAAAGGAAATCGAATTAGACACATGTCGTATTTTAAGATGAATTTTATTTATCATAACAACAGTATGATTTAGACAAGAGGAAATTAAATATCTCACTTGCAATTTCGCCTTTTTTTTTTTTTTTTGCAAAAAATCATCAACACAATTCTCTGTTTATAATTGCTATGTAGTCGATTTCATGACCTTCACTTTTTATACTACATGTAAATATAACCTTTAATCATCTTGATGAACTTTTGATTTTTTTATCATCATTATCAAATAAAATAATAACATACGCAAGTCAAAGAAATAAAAAAAAAAAAAAAAAGAACGTATGCATGAATCTTTTCAATTGCAATATACAAACTATTTCGAACATTTTACATGCATCCATTCATATCAAAATTATTATGTAAATGAAATATATTGTATTTTATGATTAAGTTTAATATCTATTCTATTAAATGTGTGGGAAGAATATTGACGTTTATCGGTTTTTTTTTTACGTTCATGATTTTATATGAATTTTAGAAAAATTAATCAAAGCAAAAAAAAGAAATACAAACGAACAGTCGAATTGAATAGATCGAATACTATATCAGATTTTCGAGCTATTATATTCAATTAGAGTCCGTTGGATTGGTCGAGCGAACAAGTCATGCTCTAAAAGTAGAAGCCAATAATAACTTGATTATTATAAGATTAGTAACAGAATACAAATAATCGTCAAAAGATATCTTGTATCTTTAGAACGACTATTAGATTCAGACTAAGATTAAAAGTAAAGTTCAAATTCGGATACAGAAATTTCTGATTAAATATACTTTACGTTCAATACGCATTAATAATCTTCAATACAAAAAAAAACCCAAGTATTAATTAAATATGTCCTATAAGATTAATATGAGAAATGAGTATTATACTATAATATAGACTGATGTCTGACGATAGAATCTCTCTAGGTGTTAAATTGCTTTTTCAACCAAGACAATGTTGATTTAATGAATAATAGAAAATTCTTGAATGATTTGATTTTCCGAACCTTCATTCTTGAGATATCGAAATTTTACTCAATTTATTTTTTCAACAAAAAGCTATGGTCTACGTTCGAGTTTCGATTAAAAAATTTGCATGAACAAAGTTCTTAACAAGATTAGTTCATTGAATTAAGCTATACCTTTTTTTTTATGTAATATCTCCTAATCAAAGATACAAAAAAAAAAATATTCAAAACTTTAGTCATATATTTATATCAAAATCTTATATACGAACAAAAATAAGACCCTTTTTCTCTTTCTCTTGTATTACCTGTCATTGTAAAGGTAACCGACCCGCCTATATTTATATATATTTATACGTATTATATTTTATTTACGTCTTATTTTTTATTTTGTGGCACAATTACCCAAATTAAGGATATTGAAAGAGCACAAACAGTAATACAACGAAGAAAAATATTCTATTTCATACTTTTCGATTTTAGACTAAAGGTATGTCTTTTGTTTTTTGAAAGCCGATAACCTTCATAAATGATCACCCTACTCTATTATCAATGATTAATGATGATGTCGTTTTGAATCAGAACAGCAATACTACACAAATTTCTCACTCGATTGCTAAATCTATTCACTCATCGTATGATTGTATATCATAATTACGCGAAGCTAGTATACTATGTACATGTAGAATTCGAATAGTCGAACGAAAAAAAACAAAAAAACTTTGAATGAGATTATCGCTCCGGTTCAAAACTGTATCATCATCAATTATTGATAATAGAGTGGATGACCATTTGTAAAGCTTTTCGACTTTCAAAAAACAAAAGACATATTTAAGCATACCTCTATTTAATGACTGAAACATGTTAAATAGGATATTTTTCATCGTTATATTGCTGCTGTTTTTTTTTCTCTCAATGGGTAATTTTTGACATAAATGCAAAAAATATCACATCAATAAAATATATTACATGTATATAAAAATATCGTAGACTCTGGCACCTATATAGAATGACCTATAAATCTATATATAATAATCCAAGCGAAAAAAAAACTTATTTTTGTCTGTGAAAGACTCGATAAAAAAAAAATTAAAACTTACACAATCCAACTAATTTTATTAAGAAAGGCGAAAATCGATTATTTTTTTTTCTTAAAAAAAGAAAACTCAATAAAATTTTCAATATCTCAACAATGAAAGTTCGAAAAGTCAAACCAAGGTAGTTTTCTTTTTTTTTCTATTAATCATCAAATAGAATATCATTTCGATGGAAAAAATGATTTGACACACCTGGAGTGGTTTCCACGTGATAATGAATATCATATCTAGTCATGATTATTCACAGCATAAATATAAAAAAAAAATAATCGAGAAATGATATTTTTTATTTTTCAATCGTAAATAACGATAATGAAGATTTTAAAAATTGAATTTTTATATCGAACATATTTTGTCTCATAACTTCAATAGAAATGACGGCAATAAATGGTTATAGTAGAATTACAATTCTCAGAGCTATTGATTGATATACTTATAAAATTATCTGAAAAAGTTAGTCTTGTAAAATAGATCGATTTTTTTTCCTACCTAAAAAAATATGCGTATAAATGATTTAATTATTTTCATAATTGATTCTGATTGGTAGATTAATTTCATTAAATACAAAATCAACACGAGATATTCAGTTGATATAGAGAAAAAAAAGATATTTTAATACCTGTTAATATTTCTTCTACGCCATTATGTATATATTATCACTTATTGCGTCGAAGTTAAATCATACAATTGCATATGGATCCAGGTGTGTGTGGGCTTTTTTCCTATTCATACCCCTACACTAAGAAAAAAAAGGATCTTGGGTTAAGTACATTCAAATCATATGAAATTTTTACGATACGTTGTGACTGTAGTGTAGATACTACCTTCAGATATTCAGCTGTATATCAGGACGTTTACGAGAGATATTCAACAAACAATGGTCAAAGATAGTTCATTTAGTAAGCGACAATTCTTTGTAAGCTCTCATTTTATACATTTGTCTTTTTTTTATTTGAAAGAGTATGCTATACTAATACACCTGACGAAGTCCTTCTTCTAAATTCTTATTAAGGTGCGAAGTATAGCATTTATGTGGTTCTTCGCGGGTTTTTTTCTTTTCAATGTGGTGCGAAACACAATATTTATGTAGTCCTTCTTGAGTGTTTCTTTACTTTCACTTTCACGGCGTATATATATAAAAACTTGTCATTTTATGATCGTATGATCTCGAGGACGGAAAGTCATAAAGTGCTCGTTGAAACGCGAAGTGAAAGTATTTCCCTCCAGGATGTTTCGTCGGTCAGTAAATCGCGTCCAAAAAAGACAAATTTTTGAGGACTTTGTGTTTTTTCAATGTTGAGATAACTAAAATGAAAATAGGAACAGAAATTAGACGCTACTTTGTTTGCTCATATGTAAAACAGGTGTGAATACAGTTGATGATAGATAACGAATCATACAGATAATTGAACGATCAATCGTTATCGTTCTATAGAAACATGTCCACATGCGTTTAGAGAGTTTTCGTAGTGATAAATTTTATCATGGCTACTATTCAACGTGGTCTTAACTGTTATCAGCTGATTGACAGAGACGTCTTAGCTTGATAGAACGTGAACAACTCGATCAGAGACATCAGTCGGAATTGACCTCAGATTCGATTTTTTGTTTTTATCAGATATCGTTTTCATGAAATATCGAGATTCGTGCTCAGAACTTCGATTTTTTTTTTAAAGTTTCGACATAATTAAAACACAAGTTAGGCGCCACTCTCTTTGCTCATGTATGAAATAGCTGTAAGTATAGCTGATGACAGATAATGAATCATATAGATAATTAATCGATCAATCAACAATATTCTTTAGAAAGATGTTGATACACGTTGATAAAGTCTTTATAGTGATGAATTTTCCAATGGCTACTGTTCAGCTTGCGTCAGATTTTGATCAGCTGATTGATGGAATGGCCATTTATGTGATACTGGAAACTTGAATTCAAGTATTCAACTATTCAAAGTTTAGCTTCTCAAGTATTCTGCAGATATTCAGTGGGGAAGCGCGTTTCCCCACCTAACACACCTTTTCTTTCAGTGTCGCGGCGTGGGGCGCGAAGCGTTCCTCGAAGAGCCGCGATCCATGAATGTCTCTGTGTACACCATTATTCCTACTCAGTGCTGCACAGTAGCTCAAGCTTCTTACATACTTCTTGTAGCATCCTAGATAATGTCTGAAGCATCTCAACCAAAACCTATAGTATTCTAGAGAATGCTTGTAGCATCCTAGTTGGTGGTTGCAGCATCATAGGGGATGCCTGTAGCATACCAGACAATACCTGTCGGTGTTAGATAATTCTGGTGGCATTTCAGGAGTTGACTAATTGAGTACTTGAATAGCTGATTAGTTGAATACTTAAATAGTTGAATACTTGAATAGTTGACCTGATAGTTGTATACTTAAATTCAACTTTCAAGTTTGACACTACTAATTTTATTTTTAATACAATGCATTAAGTAATTGAAAATTGAAATGCAAAACGTAGCCATTTCATCTGCTTCATCCATTAGTTAAGTTTTCAACAAAAACAGTTCCCATCGAAATTTTATTATTATGGTACCAATTGAATAGGGATGAAATAGAGCTTCGTTTTCTCTATCACTTCATAAAAAAGAAAATTTTCTCAAGCCTTCTATATGAAAATAAGGTATCTCCGTCAATACTTTTGCGTATCCTAAATATTATTAAGTTCTATTGCGTACTGTTGAGATGTCAATAGAGGGCGCACCACCTCTACCGCATTCTACAATAGGCACGGGAAAGGTGGTATCCGCTAGTGACATTAAAAAAATTTGATAATCTATACACCTTTAGATAGAGAAAGTCCACTAACCTACATATATTCCGTTTGTGCATCGAAAACTTATAATCATTTTTCAATCAATCGGGTCCGAAAAGTTTGGACCCGACAAGTCTCAACTGATAGAGTCAGACTTTTCTTGAGAGTGTAGGCACTTCAGCTTTACATATGAATATACACAAAAGTTTAATTTATATATATTTAATGAGCAGCAACACAGATTCATAATGTGATATTAGAGTGTAAATCCAATGATAACCAAATAGAATATTACTATTTTAATTTATCTGTTACTTCTTATTAGAACTGTGGTTTCTTTTATTTTGAAGTTATATAGAAATAAATATATGCGTAAATTTTTTCTACAAAATCTCAATATAAATAAAAGAAAAACCACAATGAATAAGTGGAGTATGAAAAACAAAAACAAAAGAAGAAGAAATATAATTAAACACTACCAATAGTAACAAAATGAAAGAAATAGAAAAAAACAAATAAACAACAATGATAACAATTTTTTTTTTGTTCGCGTAAAAACACAAAACTTCATTGATCACTGTCTCAATGTTTTATTCGATGATTAAATAAAACCATTATTAACTAAAATATAAATAATATTCAATAAAATAAATTAATAGAACATTCAAGTTTTTGTTTGTTTTTTTTTCCAAAAAAATAAATGTTAGTATAGCTTTCTTAATAATAGACAACAGACACTAAAATAAATAACGCATTAGCAATGTTATAAAGCATGCATTAGTTTTCTTTAGCTTTCAGGTATTTATTCATAAAAATAAGAAGATTCTAAGATAATTTCATTTAATAGTCTTTCAAAATTAAAAGTTAATATTGTAATATTTGCTGATCCATGTAAACAAAGAAATAATAAACTCTTCGCTCAATTTTTCTTTTGTGCTATAATATTACAGTATAAAATATCTTACAGATAGTTTTGAATTTTTTTTTCGAAAATTGCGTTGTCTGACTTTTTTTTTTTAATATGAAAAATATATAAAGATTCGAAGCTCAAAACCAGCGATTTAGCTTTTAAGACTGATTCTACCTCTGAAGAATCTATGGTAAAGATTTCAGCTTGATCGATTGTATAATCTCATTTCATTCGTCAATATAAAGCTTTTTTTATATAATGAAAATACAAAGTAGTATTTAAGTAAAGTCTATTCATGACCCACATAATACGTTTTCTTTTTTAACGACTAGTACTACGACGACGACGAAAAAGTTTTCTAAATATATTTCCTATAGACAAACAAAAAAGACTTGGGTTACTTTTTTTTTAAATTCAATTTTTGATTAGAATTTTTTTGATACCTGGACTTTTTGATTTATTTGAGTGATATCTATTAAGTGTAGATGATCGAACTGTTTTTGATGATGAATTATCATTATTATCTTTGGTTTCATTTATTGTAGTATTTGAATGATCATTAATATTATTTAATTCAGATATTTTCATATTCAATCTAAATATTTATATATTTGAAAATTTTTCATATTAAAAAACAAAAAATTCATAAAATATACGTTTGAGATATTAATTCTGATGGAATTATTTTTCTTGGTGATCGATGTCCAGTATTACTTAAATCTAATCGATTCATATCTTCAATTATTGATGGAGCAACATAAGTAAAACCCTAAGATTAAACAAATAGAATCGTATTTTCAAAGTTTTTTGGTAGAGCATCCATGAAGGAATTGAGACACTGGGATCAAAATCGAGATTTTTGATTTTTTATGTGCATTTGGAAAGCCGTAGTCTAAAACCGTTAAACTCAAATCTTAAGCTTATTTGATTGTACTATAGTAAATTTAGCCAATACCAACTTACTATCAAAAAAGAGTCAAAAATCGTACCATAAATGTTTGTTTGGATTATGCTTCAATAATACGAAAAGTTTTTCCATGCTAAAAGATAGAGCATCAATTGCTGAAAAAAATATGCTATTTGAATTATTACAGCTAATCTGTGTTACTGAGTTTTTGTAGTCCAATATGAATGAGAAATGTCACAATTTACAAAAGAAACAAGACTTTTTTTAGCGATTTTCATTGGTAAGACATAACTACAAGACAAAATAAATCAGCATCAAAAACTACATCGAATCGAATAAATTCTAGATAAATTTCTTTTCTGAAGAAAATCAGCTGTGGTTTCTCACAGCTGTATTCTTACCCTGTGGTTCCCAGAGATCAGTTTTTCATAGAAAAAAAAATTATCTAAAATCTATTTGATTCGATGTAGTTTTTGATGCTGATTTATTTTGTCTTGTAGTCGTGTCTTACCAATGAAAATCGCCAAAAAAAAGTCTTATTTCTTTTGTAAATCGTGGTATTTCTCACTCATATTGGACTACAAAAACTGAGTAACACAGATTAGCTGTAATAATTCAAATAGTACATGTTTTTCAGCGATTAATGTTCTATCTTTTAGCATGGAAAAACTCTTCGTATTGTTGAACCATTATCCTAATAAACATTTATAGTACGATTTTCGATTATTTTTTTGATAGTAAGTTGGTATTGGCTAACTTTTTGACTTCAGTAGCTCGATCTTCTCATGGACGCTCTTTTAAATAATTATAAACATACAAGAAAAACTTGATTAGCACTTTCACTTAACATATTATCATCTGGTGAATCAACAGGTGTTTGTACAGTAAATTTTGTATCAAATTGACTAACATCATCATCACTTTTAAGAATTGGTTTATATGGAGGTTCATAACGTTTTGCATAAACATCACTCCAATTTAAATGATCAAAAAATGCATGAGTCTTTAAAAAAAAAAATATATATATATATAAATTCAAAGAATAATTGAAAAAGAAAATATATTATTTTATTACTTTAATTGCTTCAGCATCTTCAAGTCCACTACCAAGTCGATGACTGACTTGTCGACGAAGTAACTAAAATATTAAAAAGAAATTTGTTTTTTTAATGTTGTTCGATTATCGCACGATGAAAATACTATTGAAATTCTATCGTCTCAATTCGAACTTAAAATTAATTTTTGCTTATTTTATATTTGAATTCTTATTTCAAATTTTTCAAATAAGAATTTTTTTTTAATTTAACAAGCAATAGACAATATCAAGAACTTTACGAATTCTTTTTTTTTTGTTTCATTTATTTTATAAAATAAAATTCTAAAATCTAATTTATTAATCTTCCTACATGCCGAAAAATATTAATCATAATACTTACATTACGAATTAGTTCTCTTGCATCAATACTTAAATATGCAGGTAAAACTAATTTTCCTTTTATTATTTTGTCCATTGTTTGTCGACGATCATCGGCTGTGAATGGTGGCTGAATCAAATGTAACAAAATATTGAATGGTACTATTGGAGAGAGAAAAAAAAATTCAGCGACATACAGCACCCGTTAGCATATCGTACATCAATGCACCAAATGACCACCTAATTAATAGGAAAAGAAAAAATTATTGTTTTTTTTTTTTATTAAATACAAACCAATCAACAGCTTTGCCATGGCCAGATCGAGTTAAAATTTCTGGTGCCATATATTCAATTGTACCACAAAATGTATTTGTTTGTCCACCATGATAGATAGATTCTTTACATAGACCGAAATCGGTTAATTTTACATGACCTAAATTAAAATTGGATGATGAAAAAAAACAAAATATTGTATAAGAAATACCTTGACCGTCAAGTAGAATATTTTCTGGTTTAAGATCTTAAATATAATGAAAAGTTTAGACATACATTTATATATATATTTAAAAATTCTTCACCTCTAAAAATCAAATATTTATTTAGAAATGAAAATTATAAGATAAAGACAGACCTATAAATAATTCCTTCTTTATGTAAATGTTCAATTCCAAGTAATATTTCAGATAAATAAAAACTAGAAAATAAGAAAATATAATTGATTTTTTTTTTGTAAATTATGTTTTTAATTTAATGAAATAAATAGAAAACATTTTATTATACGAAATTTCTTAGTCTAATCTTTTATTTACATAGATGAAATAAAACAAAAGAAAAACATATTTTTAGAATGTTAGATTAGAATTGAGAGACTGCGTAATTGTGAAACATAAATTGCAACTCTTCGTCCGCGAAATCCATGTATTACTTCATTTCATGATGAAAAGTAAACATTACTTATATAAAATCTCTAGGCGGATCAGAGATATTTTGATATTTACTTCTTCTTCACTATTATACATCATAATAGACAGAAAAAAAAAGCGTACGTTTCATTAGAAAACGACCAGAAATCAATGACCTTTATTCTCATTGTTTTAGTCCATCAATATGAGCTTTCATTTTAATGTAAATTATAATCTTTATCAGATCTATCTAACATTTATTTGATAGCGTTACGATCTTTTTTTTTTTTATTGTTATTTCTATTCTCTCCATAAACAACTGACAACATTTATCATTCTTTCTATCCAATTATAAATGCACCTTGACATTTTTGCAGAAGAAAAAAAATTCTATGTTTTTTTTTTTCTAATCTCTAAATTATAAAATTCTTACCAAGCCATATCATCCGAAAAGATTCCTTCACGTTCTAATTGCATAAATAATTCTCCGCCTGATAAATATTCTAATATTAAATATAATTTTCCACCTGTTTGAAATGCATACATAAGATCAACAATAAATGGACACTGAAATAATATTTTTATCGATACAAAAAGCAAAAACAAAAAATCATTTAAAAGAAAAATTACTTTAACACATTCAAGAATATTTCTTTCAGCTTTTGTATGTGCAGTATCTTTTGCATTTCGAACAATTCTACAGAAAAAAAACACATTTGAAAATATATCTAACAAAAGATTAATTAACATACGTAGCTTTTTTTAAAACTTTCATAGCAAATATTTCACCTTGATGACTACCAAATAATTTTCTTACTTGAAAAACTTTTCCATATCCACCTTTGCCTAGAACTTTTAATAATTGAAAATCATGTGGTGAAATTTTTTCTCCACGTGGATTAACTGTTCTTTCAGTTATTTGTACTGTTTCAATTTCACTAAAAATAAACATTTTATAAAAAGTTTTTTTTTTTTTTTTTTTTGTTTTCTTAGTAGTTTTACTTTATTTGTGACGGGTCAGCACCAGTATCATTATCAATAAAACGATTATCATCATCATCATCATTATTATCAATTGATGGATGTCGATTTTCATTCATTTCTAATGAAAATAATGGCTCGTCTGCCATAATGAATTTTAATAAAATAAAGAATCAGGTTTTTTTTTGCTATATGTATATTATTTTTTTTGTTTTTTGCTTCTTTTCAACGCATATTTAAGCTTGTCTATCTGGAATTCGAATGTCTCGATATTTTATAGAAGAAGAGATAATGGACTTTTTTTTTCTATTGGTTAAATATATGATCAATCAAAATTGACATGTCAATTTTATGTATATGTAACAAGTTTGAATTGTTGTCATGACATTTTATTTTAAAATGGTAGAATAGTTTTTTTTTATTTTGTAGTTTAATAAAATAGATCAATGTAAGTTTTATTGATATATATATGAATATTTTAAAAAAATATGATATATATATATTGATTTTTATTACAGAATGTGATTGAAAGAAAGGTAATGTTAAGATATTTTCATGTTTAATGTATTCCATAATATCTAAGTTCTTCTACAAAAGCAAAACTTATCTCTTCTAAACACTTGTCATATCGTATAGAATATAATAGTAAAGTAATAATAATTCCGATCATCTATAAAACTTGTAAGTAGCAAACTTATTAGACTTGTACTTATGATTCAATGATTTACATCTTAATCATTGATATACAGAACAAGCAGATGACATTATTGGAAAAAAAAACAAACCACATCTCTTTTTATACCACTAAATGCAGAATTTTAAGCTCTACAAAATGAACAACTAGACATTTTTGTGCAAGTGGTTTTTAAAATGATGACATCTATTAAAAAAAGGATCGACGACGATTTGTAGAAAAATCGGCCTAATTGCGTTTTCAATTTTCTAAGTATTACATAGGGGGAGTTTTTTTCCTTTTCAAATTTTACATGTGTTCCTTGACATATGCACTTATTACTTAATGTTAACTAAACGAGTTATATGCTGATAGATAGACCGTGAAAAATACATCAAAAGCCTATATAACCATCACTTATCAAAAATATACTAGAAAAAAATCCTTGTTGAATTTTCTATTAAAAGATGATACTAACATCTGACGTAAACCGTTTTATGCACTAAAGTAGAGTTCGCTAACTTTGAATTCTATATCAATCGATAGAGTTTTCCATGAGCTTATAACTTGTCAGAAAAAAAAACTTGCAAACATGTTTGGACTCAAAAGAGTTTTGTTCGCATAGGAAAAATCGACATTTTTGGGCCGGTATTCAACGATTTCAGATGTAATAATCATCTTTTCAATCAAAAACGATAGCATATTCCGAATCAACACAATTAAACGGCTTCGACCTATGTGTTTCAAAGTTTTCTGATACTTTTGATTTTTCAACTCATTTTTGAGGTAGTTCTGAGGGAGGGAACCAGGGTTCTAATTTTGACTGGAAATCTAAGTCATCAGAAAACTTTGAAACACATATAAATCAATGGCATTTTTCGAATATGCTATCGATTTTAATTGAAAATATGATTATTACGACAACAAACGCCAAAAAATGTCGTTTTTTGCTTATCTGAACAAAATTTTCTTAAAATAAGCCCATGGAAAAATTCTATTTTACTGTATAAAGCAGTTTATGTCAGATGCCAGCATTATATTTTAATAGTATTCAACAACGACATTTTTTATCAATGATTTGTTATATAGATTTTCGAAGTACTTTTCATACTCTATCTATTGGTATATATAACTCGTTTAATTTGTATTAGATAATAAATACATACGTCAAGAAACACGTGTCAAATTTGATGATCGAAGATTGTCTATGTAGTACTGAGAAAATCGGGTTCTAAGCTTGTAAACATCTACCACAATCATTTTAAAAATATCAGATACAGTTTCTATCATTATCTACTTTATTTCGATACAAAAAGATTATTAAACTTCAAATGAACCGATTTTCCTACAAACCGTCATTCATCCTTAGGTATTGTGTTTCAAAAACAGATATAGTTCCGTACTTTATTTAACAAAGAAAAGTGGCATTAATTTTTCAATAAAATGCTGAATAAATTATTTTTTCGTGGTATCCAGTACCGTAAGCACTACAAGGAAAGAATAAATGCTCAATTTAAAAGAAATATAACAATAAAAACCTACGCAAAACCCTTTATCGTTTAACATCAGAATAAAACTTTCTCACACATTCACTCGTGTATTTCTTAAGAAATAATACATATTTTTATAAATATCTTATTTATAACTATTCAATCATATTGAATGAACATCATGCAAACTGCATATATTATTAGGAAATTCATTTTGAATAATTGAGAATCTTTTTTGGAAGAAAAGAAAAAGAATATTCGATTCACACTATATAAAAGATTTCGAATAAGTTTTTCTAATAGGCAGTTTTACAAGATTGTAGCTTCCATAAAACAGTTCATTTCACTATATCTATGACTAATTTTATTATCATTACTCTTGTAAGCAAGATCTTGGCCAAGATACAACGTACAGAAATATTAACAGATCTTAAATTAGATCTTTGGTACAGTTTTGCAAGATCTTAAGTTTAATATCTTTTTCACTCATCTATGATACAGATAATTATATCTTGAGAATTAAGATTTTTAGTCAATATCTTGTTGTCTAGCCTTTATTTAATACAAAAAAAAATGTACATCTGAAAAATTCGTGTACGTTTAATTTCCATAGAAAGGTAGTATAACAAAAAAGAACTAAAATGATTATTCGAAGAAACGCTATAGTTTTTATAAATAATTAGTACAAGTTCAAAAATATGAAATTTTACAAAAATGAAAGCGAAATAAAATCTACAACTAAAATCATTGGTTTTATCGTTACTATCATTAGAAATCGATCTTTCTTTAACAGCATTCGATGGTCATTGTAAAATTAAATCAATGATTATAATGTAAAAAACCTAGAATTATATATAAATCTAGAGAAAAAAAAACGAATTTTAGCATTTCTAATGTCTATACTGCTTATAACAATTACCATAGAAAAATTTTTATCGAAAAATTTATCTGAATTAAGTTTGTTTAACTTTCTTTTTCTTCTCTCACTATTCTTCATAACTTTAATTTCATTGATTGACAAATACCTTTTCTATTGCAAATTTATCATACATCTACAATACTACTAAGTTAATGTAATTGACTTCTGAAAATAAGTTACAAACAATTAAAATATTTTTCAATATATAAATAAATTAATAATGTCACTATTTATTTTATTCAAGATCTTAGATGCAGGATTATGACAAAGACTTTTGCCCTAATCTTCAGATTATGACAGTAAAATTATTGAATATTATTCGAAGTTAGAAAAAAAAATACGAGTAATTATCAATATTTTACTATTGTATTCATGTTCAATCAATGAGCACTTTAAGTCATTCGATAGAAGAAACTGTATAGAGTTTCATTATGTTATTTTCTTATTAGTATAATATTTATTTCTAGAACTTTTAGAATATAATTCTCAATGATATTCTGCATATTAATATGTACAGTACCAATGATTAGAATCGGCTATAATAATTTCTATTTGAGTATTTAATTTTCTGTCTTTCTTTCTTCATGTGAAAGATCGTTAGGAACTTATTAATATGATATAAATATAATCTCTTCCATTAATATCTTATGAATTATTCAATTATGAACTATTCATAAATTTGTTAAAAACATTATGAATAGATTACTTCTAGACTTTGAATTTTTCTTTTTTCAATAGATAAAATGAATATTTTATTATGGTTGATTTCATTAGTAGATTTTTCATTAGTCAAATTTAGCGTTAAATCATCCATTTGTTAAGTTTTCTTTTTCTATAATAACATGATGTATTTCATCATGCAAACTCATTCCTCATGAATAGATAAAAAACAAAACATTGATGACCTATAGTGTTATGTCTGCTCTCATCAATAATATATTGATATAAAAGAATTAAAAAGATATTTCGATTCATTTAATGAATGTGTCTAATGAATAATAAAGAAAATATTCTTGATTATATTGAATATCTTAGTTTGATGAAAAACAAAAAAAAAAGGAAAACGCCTATCGACACCAATGAACTTTTGTTTTCTTCTAATGAAATCTAAATTTATAATAATAATAAACAAAATTATAAATGTAAATCATATAATTAAATAAATTCTTTAATAAAAATTAAGAGATAAATATACAATTAAAATAATGCATGTGTTTATGTCGAACAAGATAATTCAATAATATGAGACTATGAAAAAAAAAATGACCTTACAATTTGAAATTTTTAAATTCAAAAAAAAAATAAATAATAATAATTTCTACAATTAACAGATTTATAATTGTAAAGAATTTCTGAGTATATTCAAAACATTTTAATATTTATTTATTCTTTGTCAATAAGATTTATCGTATTTTCATAGAGTAAAGTAGGTCATATCGTATTTTTTAAATACTAGAAAACAAGAAATTTATAATTCATTACATGATCATTCTTCTATTTATTAAAGTTATTGATAATATAAAGAAAAAAAAATTTTAATTGTAAATAAGGATATCTTCGTAATATAAATATTTATATGTATATATATCTTTTTTTTTCTTTGCGGTTTATTTTTAATTACGTTTTTTGATGAATAGAAGATTACTATTGTCAATATCACGAGTTGTTGTAAAAAAAAACTATTCAGCTTCTTTCTTATAGAATTCTACACGCGTATTATTAATTTTTATTTCAATTGTTAACTTTCTTTTTTTTAAAGATTTTATTATTAAATCTAAAAATTCATTATAATATGAATAACATTTAAAGCTAATAAAAATTAAAAAAAAAAAAGAATCAATTCTAGATGTACGATCGAGCACCACGTAATTTACACCTTTCAGTAGGCTGTACACCAGATCATGTTGGACCTGGCACTTATGATCATCGACGAAAAAAATTTCATGAAGGTTAATGAGATGTTTTTTGTTTTAAAAAGATTTATCTAAAGAAATTATATTTCATATAAATAGAAGGTTATGCTCCATTTTTATCACTGGCAAATCGTGGTGATGTATTTTCTAATGA